CTTACTTACGCCTGTTACCCCCAATGGAGCATAGGCCCCCCACCAGTTTTCTCCAACCAACTCTGTCCTAGGCTTCCCTCTCCAGTTCTGTCCAATGTTTGTTCATTCCTCTTATATCTTTCTCTATTTCACGGCGTAATGTATTCTTTGGCCTTCCTCTTTTCCTTTTGCCTTGAGGGTTCCATGTGAGGGCTTGTCTTGTGACGCAGTTGGGTGCTTTTCGTAGTGTGTGTCCTATCCACTTCCACCACTTCTTCCTGATTTCCTCCTCCACTGGAATCTGGTTTGTTTTCTCCCACAGTTCGTTGTTGCTGATGGTGTCTGGCCAACGAATCCGAAGTATTTTGCGTAGACAACTGTTAATAAACACTTGTATCTTCTGAATGATGGCTTTGGTAGTTCTCCATGTTTCCGCTCCATACAGTAGATCTGTCTTCACATTTGTATTAAAAATCCTGATTTTGGTTTTTGTTTGAAAGTTGTTCGGAGTTCCAGATATTTTTCAACTGTAGAAATGCAGCCCTCGCTTTGCCAATCCGCGCCCTCACATCTGCATCCGATCCACCTTTCTCATCGATGATGCTGCCCAGATATGTAAAGTTGTTAACGTCCTCCAAGGCATCTCCATCAAGATCGATTTGGTTGGTGCATGTTGTGTTGCATCGGAGAATTTCGCTTTTTCCTTTATGTATGTTGAGACCTACTGCTGCAGAGGCTGCTACTAAACTGGTCGTCTTCTCTTGCATTTGTTGTTGAGTGTGCGATAGAAGAGCCAGGTCATCTGCAAAGTCCAGATCGTCCAGCTACGTCCTAACTGTCCAGTTGATACCGTGCTTCCCTCCACATGTCGACGTCTTCATAATCCAGTTGATGACCAGGAGAAAGAGAAAGGGTGAGAGTAAGCAACCTTGCCTGACACACGGTCTTCACCTCGAAAGAGTCTGTTGGCTGTCCTTCGTGTACGATTTTGCAGTTGAATCCATCATAAGAATTCCGTTTGATGTGAACTGTTTTCTCAGGCACACCGTAGTGTCGAAGAAGAATCCACAGTGTTTTCCTATCCGCGCTATCGAATGCTTTCTCGCAGTCGATGAAGTTGATGTAAAGTGGTGAGTTCCATTCAGTTGATTGTTCCACAATGATCCGTAATGTTGCAATTTGGTCAGTACACGATCGATCCTTACGAAATCCGGCATGTTGATCTCGAAGTTGGGCGTCTACGAAGTCCTTCATTCTGTTTAACTATACTCCGTTGAAGACTTTTCCTGGTATTGAGAGAAGAGTGATGCCTCTGTAGTTCTCACACTTGCTGAGATCGCCTTTCGTTGGTATTTTGATCAGGTATCCTTCTTTCCAATCTGATGGTACTTGTTCCTCATCTCAAATCTTCTTGAAGAGGATGTGAAATATTTTCGCAGTTGCTTCTATATCTGCTTTCATTCCCTCTGCTGCAATGTTGTCTGGTCCTGCTGCTTTGCCGCTCTTGATTTTTCTGATTTCCATACTGATCTCCTCAATCGTAGGTGCGCCAATATTATTCGGGAAATCCGTGGATGCTGCTTCGATGTTGGGTGGGTTCAGTGGAGCTGGTCGATTCAATAGTTCCTTAAAGTGCTCTACCCACCTATTTCGCTGTTCGTCAGTGTTGCTGACAACTTTGCCTTCCTTGCTTTTCACTGGTCGTTCTGGTTTACGATAGTTCCCGGCGAGCTTCTTTGTTGTTTCGTACAATTGTCTCAAGTTTCCTTCTCTTGCAGCCTTTTCCGCCGTCATTGCTAGATCTTCCACATATTTTCGTTTGTCAGCTCTGATGCTCTTCTTCACTTCCCTGTTCGTTTCCGTGTATGCAGCTTGCGCCTTAACTTTCTCTGCTCTTGTTCGGCTGACATTCACTGCTGACTTCTTGTTCCTCCTTTCTTCAATTTTTACGAGAGTATCAACAGAGATCCATTCCTTGTGATGCTGCTTCTTGCGACCAAGGACCTCCTGACATGTTGAAGTGATTGCCTCCTTAATCCCTTTCCAATTGTACTCCAATGTTGCTTCCTCTCCATTGAGTAGATCATTAACATCTTTGTTGATGGTGAGTTCTTCAAGTTCTAGTGAGAAAACATGACCAGCAAATTACACTTCATGATCAAATCCAATGTCTCCAATATCCAACATCTTTCTCACGAGCTAGTGTAAACCAGTTTGATTTATTCGTGCTCGATTCATGTTCTTTCGGTACGCTTCCAAGTGTTCGGTAATGTCCAACGGATAGAGGTCCAGCCACTCGACTGCCTATTTCTAATCAGTTGTCAGTTGGTTGTGAGTTTTTATGTCTTGGGATATGAATGAAACGTTTGTTTCAGTGCAGTAGGGTTTCAGGACACTAGCAGCCGTCACAATACCAAACCGGAGATCAGTTAGTTGCAATGTGGAGAGTAATAATGGTAATAAGGATAAAATTAAAATGATAATATATAGATGAATTTAGTTTGTTAATTGATAGTGAGGATTATGAGAGAGAGATAGATTAATTAAGTGATCTTAGGAGATGGCGACGGTAACAACTAGCAGGTCTCAATATATGCATCATGAACAGCTTGACCAAGAGGGAGATGATAGTCCGTATGTGAGTAGGTGATTATCAAATCTCTTCTTAAAGCAGTCCACTGAGGGGGCTGTGGTTACATCTGCTGGGAGAGCATTCCAAGTTGCTACGACTCGCAATGAGAAAAAGTGCACGAATCTGAGTATTCGCTCTTTGATGTGCAATCTTTCGAGGATTGCCTCGAGGGGAGTGGTCGTGATGCAATGGTAAGATGCTTAATTGTCAACATTAGAAATTTACATTTCAACTGATCATTTGTTTGAAACAATGAAATGTTTTTTGTTTTTGATTAAAGAATGAGAGAATGTAATAAAAAGTCTATCTGAAAAAAATGAAAGAGAATTTCTAGCGAAATCTTAAATTGATACTTTGTTACATTTCAGTGTTTTCGTTTTATGGCTTCGTCGACTGCAACATTTTCACCTTCAGATTCAAAAACAAAATTGTTATTCTTTTTCTTCAGTTAATAAAAGTTTACTGATAGCTTTTTGAGTTTTACAGATTTAAGATAAGAAATATTTTGTTTTCATGATTTTATGTTTATATAACGATATGTAACATTTTAAATGAACACAACTGATAACAAGTAACTTTCTATTATGATTATTATTATTATTTTTTAGAAAATAATAAAATCTTTACTCTGCTGAATTTCCGAAATGAACTAAAATTCATCATGATTTTTGAAATGATCTTAATTCAGTTGAAACGGCCGACTTCCAGTGCTTCCAGGTTTCTAATGATGGACTAACATTGACTGATTGGTGATTTCAAATGTGCGAAATAATTGAAAATATCGTAAAATGTGCTCATTAGTGACTAGCTTCGGAGTTCTAGTTGAAAAGACGTGACCAATGGAGTTCAACCATGTCGGGTGTAGGCAGTAACTACCAGAGACAAATGAGTGAGGTCGCGCAAAATCCCTCGATCAATCAGAGTTATTAGACATTAACACTGTCGGATGCCGGCGCAGTGGTCCGTTCGCGCACAAAGCCGAAGTTGTCGGGTTCGAATCCTACGAGATGCAGGAGTCGTGGATGCGCACTGCTGATGAGTCCTATACCAGGACTAAACGGGTGTCCAGTGCTTCCAGGTTTCTATTGGTGGTCTAACAATAATTGATTGATGATTTCAAATGTGCGAAAAAACATTCATCTCCATAACTCTAATTGAAAAAATATATATATGTCACTGATTATTGTTGGTTATGTTCAACTTTCTTCGACAGCTGTCCATTGTTAATCAACCGACAAGGACTTGTCATCCTACATAGTTCTGAGTCCTGCAGTCTGGTCACATAGTCTCACCGGACAAATCATTTAAAATCATCGAAACCGTCATAGGATTCAGCTGGACTTAATGTTATTAAAATGTATGCTTGCATAAGTTATCTGCTGAAATCTAACTACTTTTTCTTATTGACAGATTTTAAACCTCCAAATGAAAACTAATGACTTCTTAAACAGTTTTCAAATTTACATTTTTCAACCTGGAAAGAATGACTGAAACGTTATTTCATATAACAGTAAGACTAGATGAGGTAAACGCTACAAGATAAGTCTGTGTGTTAGCCACTGTTACGGTAGTTATTTAGTCATTCGGACAATTTTGGAAAAATGTTTTGACGTTGTATACAATTTTATGAATTATGCAAACATGTATAATTTCAGGTGTTATTGGTTTCTATAAAGAAGCAGATTATATTGGTCTCATAATGTCTTTATTCGGTTAACGAATAACGAGAAACAATTGTGCGTATTTATTTATTGTCTAAAGTAAATCAACTGACAGCTTATTTGTTGAACACATAGGGAAACTCAGGTGACAATCAATCGCGTGATTCGTCTGCCACAAAGTTTTTTTTTAGGAACTGATTAAAAACAACCATTTGTACACAATGGAATTTATGACAATTCACCATTCAGACAGTGAATCTTTCACTGTTTCAAAAAATATCAACAGTCTCTCAGCTCTTTCAAGTTTTCATCAGTAGTTCAGCAAAAATATCAGTTACTTGATTTCATCCATGAAGAGGTGATTATTAAAAATAAATCAGCATGACAATGGATCACTTGATCATTGAACATTGAAAATTGAAACCAAATGAATAGATTGGCTACGAGGTGTCTTCGTTTAAATTACATTCACACGTTTGTTTTGATTGGTTCGTTATAGGAATATGGTAATTATCACAGACGTTGATTGCATTTATCTTTAAATCCATGTTGGGGTATAAATATCGATAGACAGACAAACATTCATTCTTGTTATTATTATCATTATTATTATTATTATTGTTAAATAACTAACCAATGAAAATCGTTCAAAGAAAGTTTACTTTAATTTAAACAAATTACTATTATCCGTTTGTTTGAACATTGAATTACACGATTTGCTGTCAATAAAAAAAAGTGCATATATATATATATAATAATGTAAGATTTTGATTATTTAATCATTTAAAAATAAATAATTAAAAAAAAACACTTTCAACCTATTTCATATATTTCAATTCAAAATACAATGTCATCAAACTTATCCAATACACCAACTAATCAAGCATGTTCTATACATGTGAAAAATATGGAATATGCTGTAGGATTTCTACGTGGTTACATTAGTCCAATTATTGTGATTTTTGGTGTGTTCGGTAATATGGCAGCATTTTATTTATTTCTAACACATAAACCATGGAATCGTTTTTCTATTTATGTCATGACATTAGCTATATCAGATAGTCTTGTACTGATATCAAATACATTTTTAGATGATTTCTTAGGACGTGGATTATATTATTTAACCAATGAAAGTATAATGATCAAATTGGATACACTATCATTGTTTTCATGTCAACTAATGGAATTAATTGGGACATGGTTTGTATTTAATTCCGGTTGTTTGTTGGTTGCATTCAGTATTGATCGGGTGAATTGTTTAATATGGCCATTGAAATGTCGATCTAATGGTGGAGTTGGTATGGCTATGCTTGTATGCAGTTTAATTATTGTGATTGGCTTTATTTTAAGCATTCCTTTTGCTATGCTACAAACATTAGTTGATAAAAATGTTATCGAATCGAATAGAAGAACACTAATTGACATTGTTAACAATATTACTACTAATATGGATAATAGTAGTATGATAAGTAACAATTCGATACATTATCATATAAGTAATCAATTATCTGAATGTTTAGATTGTATAAAAAATCATAATGATACAGAAATAATCAAAAGTAAGTTGTATGTTACATTTTTGATAAGAAGAATAATGTTCTTTTATGCACCTTGTTTATAATTATTGAAGTGTATAACTACGTCAATGTCTGACTTCGAACAATCCACCATCTTGTGTAACTTCATCCACCGTCTTCGATGAGCACTGCCTTACAGCCTAAGACGATTTAACTTCACTGGTTCTGACTTCGCACCAGACCCCGTACAAACGTCCATACTAACTGTCTGTATGACCTGTCATTTAAATTGATCACCAATGCTTTTAAGATAACTAATAAAATCAAAAAACTAAAGTTCACTAAAATAAAACTTATTATAAATGTTCACTAATAGACATAACAAAATGATCACCGAAAAAAATTGGGTTGTGTCTTACACTTAGAGTTCACACAAATGTGAAATGTGTCACTTATTATCATGTCAATAATTGACTTGTAAAATTAATGTATATCCCGTTGAACATTGAATAAGTTTCAGTAAACTTCAAAAGTACACCCTTATCACTAGATGATTTTAGAATGAGGTCACTCACTATGATACACGCTGATTTAGGTAATAAAATTTCATTATTTTTGAATGTTGTTTTTTTAGCGGAATTCAATTTTCAATGGGATAAACATTTTTCTCATTCAAACAATACATTTGCATACTTTTTCTCTAAATGACAGGTGACCTTAAACATCAGAAAAGAAAACACGCTTTTATACAAAGCAACTAATTCAGGGTGACATGATTTTTACCGACATCATGATAGAAATTTTGTGACAGAATTAAGTTTGTAAAACTTCTAACAAAAAGACAATATGTCAACATGTTTCAAAATACTATTAATAAAGTAATCAATAGTATAGAAAATTATTTCAAAAGAAATTAGGACAAATGTAATTTATTAGTTTGTACTGAAAATGTTCTAGAAATTACTTAATAAAATGATTTATGGTGACATTAAAAGATTTCAGAAATATAGATATGTTGATTCTAAATGTTAAGCATTAACTAATTTAGCGTTGAAAATTGTGAATCAATCATTGTTAGAGAATCATTAGAAAGCTGGAGGCACTCTACAGACGTTTCATGTGAATTTGGGACTGCTTAGCAGTGTACATTCACGACCACTGCTCGCAGGAAGCGAAACCAGAGCTTTTCAGAAAAGTACATTTGAGATAGTGGGAGTTATTTTCAACTGATGTAAATACGATGACTAATAACTGATAATTATCGACAATGATGAGAATTTTTGATCTAAACAGCCTCAAATTTAAACAAATATGATCATCAGATTTGAAATCAATGATTCGACAATACAATCTTTCTCTTGATAACCTTGAAAAACTCTTTTTCTTTAGTGTGTCTAAATTACTGACTTTTCATTGTTAATAAATTGCCATTTTGTTTCATTGATTCAATGTCCAATCATTTTTGTATCGTACAGTTTTGAATTTTACCAAGGATTAATTGGATTATTTATTTAGGCGTCAATTGTTATTTTCTTGTCTATCAGTGCAAATTTACTTTTTTTCAGTGGTAAGAAAAATTTCAAAATAAATCAAACTTCACTATTTAACAGAATATTTAGATTATGAAATATAAGAATTGATTTTTTAAAAATACGAAATTAATTCAATTATTCAGTTAGTCAAATGAATGAGGTCGATTAAAAACTTTTCATGTTATTTTAACACTTACTTATTATTGCAGTACGTTTATGTATTCGTAGTGGTAGTAGTAGTAGTAATAGTTATTCTAGTAACACTATTGATTTTATTGATTTAACGGACATATTTTATCTTGGTTAAGGTTCAGTTGAACTGTCAATAACATATGTTAGATGATGTTTGTGAAAGTTGTTCTTTACGAGTTTTTTTTTCTAATGTAGTTCTATTTTCAGACTACTTTGTCTGATATTTTGGGGCAGAGTTTTAGAGGTTTGTGTTTTTACACATTTGAAATCATCAATCAATTATTGTTAGACCACCATTAGAAACCTGGAAGCACTGGACGGCCGTTTTATCCTGGTATGGGACTCATCAGCAGTGTTCATCCACGACTCCTGCACCTCGCAGGATTCGAACCCGGGACCTTTGGTATTGTGCGAGAACGCCTAACCACTGGGCCGGCATCTAACGGTGTTAATGTCTAATAACTCTGATTGATCTAGGTATTTTGCGTGACCTCACTCATTTGTCTTTGGTAATTACTGCCTACACATACCCGACAGGGTTGAGCTCCATTGGTCACGTCTTCTCAACTAGTGCTCCGAGAATTTCCTCACGAAACTAGTCACTAGTGAGCACTGTTACGATATTTTGGGGCAGAGTTTTGGAAGTTTGTGTTTTTACACATTTGAAATCATCAATATGAATTTATGAATATCAAATAAATAGGATGTCAGTCGAATAGTTCATAACGTTGGACACATTATTGAAGTAGACAATGGTTTTTGTAGCCACAAATTGACGAAAATGCTTATCGATTTTGTGTTTATAATTGGTAGATGTTTTGCATAGCATGGTGTTCTAGTCAACGAGTTTCGGAAAGTCACATTTAGTGAGGTGAGGCACCATTTCTGTAAAAAGTATTTGAGAATACATAACGTCGATGATTTCAAGTCTCTGGTGTTGCTTGGCAGAAACCATGAATGTGCACTCCAAATAACTCGTGACATGTTTATAGGAACACTCATGCCGTAGATTATTTATAAATAAGATGCACACTAGGAATTCGGTTAATTTCACTCATGTGCCTTTCAGATTACACTTGAGAGAGCAGTTGATAGCGTATTCTTATGAATGTAGTTTCGATCCTAAACTATATCTCTTAAGTTACATGCCAGCCACCAGTAATCGAGTTTTCGCTATATAATGGTAGGGTAGACTATCCAGCTAAAGTTCTTTTCGTACGAACTGATAAGCACAGCCATTCCACATAGCTCATTTTCACTCGGAGGAATAGTAATCACCTCTTGCTTGTATATCACTAAAGCAAATAAGAAGATGTTATTATTTAAAGAGATTAAACAGCGAAATTGAATTATTATTAATAATTGTAAATTTCAGTTACTGTATGTAGCATTATTCATCAAAAATCGATCAATTTTTTTTTCATTATGTCAAGATCAAGGTAACTAGTTCTTTGAAGAAAAAAAAATAACAATCTAATTACTTGAAATTGGCAAGAATAATCAACTAATTCCCTAGACATGTGTAATTTACAGTGAATAATTACAACAGCATCTGTTTTCTCTGTTTTTCATTTGCAGCGATTTGAATGTTTTGAAGTTAGAAAAAATATTTTTACATGAACAAGGTATATTTTTAGTGATTCCACATGTTAAATTATTTGAAATAGAATGATGTACTTTAAATAATTAAAAAAACTTATGTCTAAACGTTCGTGCCAGAAATCAATAATTTAAAAATGTTTTTCAGTCAAGCACGAATAATGGAGTTTAGTGGTTTTGTGTACAGCCATTGATTGATGATTTCAAATGGGCGAGTAGAAAATAACACTAATCACCACAACTCTAATTGGAAATATCGTAAAATATGCTCATTAGTCACTAGTTTCGTGAGGAAATTCTCGGAGTTCTAGTTGAGAAGACGTGATCAATGGAGTTTAACCATGTCGGGTGTAGGCAGTAACTATCAAAGACAAATGAGTGAGGTCGCGCAAAATCCCTAGATCAATCAGAGTTATTAGACATTAACACCGTTGGATGCCGGCCCAGTGGTCCAATGTTTATGTGTTCACGCACAAAACTGAAGGTCTCGGGTTTGAATCCTGCGAGATGCAGGAGTCCTGGATGCGTACTGCCACTAATGAGTCTCATGTCAAGACGAAACGGTCGTTCAAGCAGTGCTTCTAGATTTCGAATAATGGTCTAACCATTGATTGATTGATGATTTCAAATTAAAAAACTGGCGAATTTAATTAACGTCTTAACCAGATAGTGATTTTCATATTTTTCTGCTTATAAAACAAAATTTTGAACACCAATTACTATTCCTATCAATCAAACGGAATATCATGCATGCACTAATTTCCATCGTTTTGATTTATATAGACACAATACAATGGACATGTAATTACAATTATAGAGAATGAAAGTAAACATTTTTTTTCAGAAAAAACTAAAATTTTTCGACATGTGATTGTGTAATTAACAGAAAAGATCTCGAGATAATGTACACATTGATTTGAATCGATTGTGGTCATTACGATATCCAATCTAGGCAATCAGTTTATTCATGTTAATAACTAGTTTAACAACAACAATTATCTTTTATCCTGGGGACATAAATGAAAATGCTTCTAACCACAATAAAAGATGAATATTTCGGGATATTCGAGTTTTCACTATACCATACTTCTCACATTAATAAACTAAACTTGTGAAATGTGATTTGTGAAAGAATCTGTGAATATATATGCACTGAATGACATTGTGAGGAATAATTATAGGAATACTCTATTCTGAACATGATATTTTTCATCGGATTCATGCTATTTTACAAACATTATCGATCTGATGTGCGTAGCCAAGTTAAAATTGAATGACATACGGGGAGTGTTAGATTATTTGAAATATTTCGGTTGGAAGTACTTTTTTTCAACCAGCAGCTATCAATTCTTTCTGACTGGACAACCGTTTGTCACATGGACAGTCTATTACAAGTTAAATCCGCTATCATAATGACTTAGTTCAATACATATTTAGAACGGGGGAACAGAGAGCATGGAACAGAGAAATATCAGTTAGATCATTTTTTAGTTGGTATTTCGGGTGCGAGTACTTTTCAAAGTAGTTAAACTTACAAAGGCGAGTGTTCATGTAAATTATCTACTGACTGACTTGATGAGCTACATTTTATCGAGTGGAGGCAGACAGGATGATAGCCAGGGATGTAGTATCCGTAACATAGCACAAATTTATGAAGTTACTGACATGTGGACATGTCGACTACCTTGTGGTTGTCTGAGAGACATTAGAAACCGATGG